CAAGGCAAAAGAGGGGGTCATTATCTAACTAAATGGGGCAATCAATTTCACATTGTAGACATTTCCTAGATTTTCCTGTATTTCGAGCCCGAATGGGATGAGCAGCAGAATGATTGGGCCATTGTGAGTTGAGTTTACCTGATCAATGAATCCGCCGAGAATCGACAGGTGTCTCGCCGGGTAGGATGCGAAAATGTGTCCGGTTGCATTTATTCCCGTCACCGACAATATCCCGCTGGTGAAGTCCATGAAAGCATCTGTGAGGGGTTCAGAGAGTTCTTGACGAAGATCAAAATTTCAAGTGGACAGTTGGTGGTTATACAAAGCAGTGATTGTGCCATGAGTGATCATCAAGTGTGTTGCAGGGAATTGTCCAATTTTACTTCACTGATCTGAAAACTATGATTAATTTCGTAAAAACTATGTTTCTTGTTCAACTATCGATGCCAGCGACTGTCGTTCGGACGATTACATGGTCTTCTACTACAGAGTGTCCCATAAGTCTCTATAGATTCATTCATATATGCTTCTAACATTTATTTCTTTGGATTTAAGATAACCCAGAGAATGCACTTGAATAAAAAGCAACGAAATAACCCTCGAGAAAGAAAATAAACCTAATCTAACCCTAATCACAGCCCTAACCCCTAATCACAGCCCTAACACCTAACCATAACCATAACCCAACCCCTAACCCTAACCTAACTCTAACCCTAACCCTAACCCTAACCCTAACCCTAACCCACGACCCAAACCCTAACTCGAACCCTAACCCTAACCCCGAACAACTAACTCCTAACTCCCTAAAGCTAACCCTAACCCTAACCCTTAACCCCAACCCAAACCCCTAACCCCTAACCCAACCCGTAACCCCAACTCCTACCCCTAGAATGCACTTGAATAAAAAGCAACGAAATAACCCTTGAGAAAGAAAATAAACCTATTCTAACCCGAATCACAACCCTAACCCCTAACCATAACCCTAACCCAACCCCTAACCCTAACCTAACTCTAATCCTAACCCTAACCCGAACACTAACCCCTAACCCTAATCCCTAAACCTAAACCTAATCCTAACCCTAACCCTAACCCACAACCCAAACCCTAACTCGAACCCTAACCCTAACCCCTAACACCTAACCCCTAACTCCCTAACTCTAACCCTAACCCTAACCCTTAACCCTACCCCCTTACCCTAACCCCACCTCCAACCCCAACCCCTAACCCTAACCCCCAATTCTAACCCTAATCCCCTAACCCCAACCCGTAACCCCAACTCCAACCCCTAACTGTAACCCTAACCGTAACCCTAACCCCTAACCCAAACGCCCTAACACTAACCATAACGCTAACCCAACCCCTAACCCTAATCCTAACCCTAACCCCAACCCCAACCCCTAACCCTTAACCCTACCCCTCTTACCCTAATCCCACCTCCTAACCCCAACCCTAACCACTAACCCTAGCCCCAGGTAGCACACAAGGTATAATGAGGGAATATTTACTGACATTTTTGTTTGGTGTCCTGCTATCAGAATTTTCTGACGTCAAATATGTCTTGGCTCAATAAAAGTTGTGAGACACAGCCAGAAATTCATTCTTCTAACCATAACGCTAACCCAACCCCTAACCCTAACCTAACCCTAATCCTAACCCTAACCCTAACCCCAACCCCTAACGCTTAACCCTTAACCCTACCCCTCTTACCCTGATCCCAGCCCCTAACCCCAACCCTAACCACTAACCCTAGCCCCAGGTAACACACAAGGTATAATGAGGGAATATTTAGTGACATTTTTGTTTGGTGTCCTGCTGTCAGAATTTTCTGACGTCAAATACGTCTTGGCTCAATAAAAGTTGTGAAACACAGCCAGAAATTCATTCTGAAAACAATAGTATGCTCACCATAGTATAATCCAAATACTGCAGCAGCGCCAGCAAACGCGCCAAGAAACTGAGCGATGACGTAGAAAGGAAACTTCCAGATCTTCAGTTTGCCAAGGATCACCATGGCCAGAGACACAGCAGGGTTCACGTGCCCCCCTGGGGTTGAGGATAAAGGCGAAAATGAGAGAGGGCTGCGGCTGGTATGATGGGTCCAAAGGCCCTTAAATCAGGACTACATTCCATCCATCCATCCATTTTCTGATCCGCTTTATCTTCATATGCATCGCGGCCATTTTCTGATCCGCTTTATCTGCATATGCATCGCGGCGGGTGCTGGAGCCTATCCCAGCTGTCTTTGGGCAGTAGGTGGGAGACATATTGTTTAGCCAGCTAACGAATGTTACATTACTGTAAATTTTTAAGTAAACAGTCAATAAAGCCCATCTAGGCTTTTCTGTAGGTTGATGCAGCTGCATTAGCACGTCTCTTTATATGTTTTCAAAAAAGTGAATATGAGGCTTGGTAAAGTGGTTTCGACAGCATATGATGTAGCTAAGGCGCTGTATAAGTGCACTCAATTTACATTATGATCAAATTGAAGTTTTCATTTTTTTGCTCAATGGTGTGTTTTTCGGCAAAGTGCACTGAATGACTCATTTGACTTCAGGACTTGCGACTTAAATGATGAACAAATAGCGAATGTGGATTTTGAGTGTGAGTCTGAGCTCTATCAGTAGTGTATATATAGTATGTGAAAAAAAACTCTGTCGCGTGTATTTTTTCAGCAGTGTTTGAGTTGTGTGTGGGAGATAATACTGATTGATGTCCCCAATGGCCTCCCTAGGTTGGCATGATATCCTCTCCACCATTAGGGAGGCTGTCACATTTACGAGGGACAGCAGAACGAAAGCAGCCCTCCAGGGGGTAACGTAGGGATTGGTTGAAGAACAACAGACTGTCAGACAAGTTACTGGCCATAAATTACCACCATAGCAGCGCCGACTTTCTTTTAAAGAAATAAAATGTTCTGGCTTCACGGATGCCGTTTGGTCTTGCTGCTCAAACGATCCCGGTCACGTTTTGAAGCCAATGTTTGCCAGAGATGCGCGGACGTGGGCCCGCGATCGATGTTTGCAGGACATTCAGCGCCCCAGGTTATGGACGACCGCGGAGAGGCTGCGCAGTGAGACTACCAAATCAATGGACAGCGCACACTCATTGACTGCCGTAGAGATAGCACGTTTCTGCTGGATGAGAGCACAGTAGAATCACGGAGGTGGCACATAGCTGCACGGGAGACCATACATACATTTGTTAAAAATGGGCCCTCCCATTGGCTGGTGACCATTTTAGGGTGTACCCCGCCACTGACATAAAGTCTTCTTGGGTGGGCTCCAATTCACCTGTGATGACATTCCAATTACAAATTCCCGTGCCCAATTGTTTTAAATCTGACCATATATGAAAAACACCCAACTATCGCAAAAATCCAGTGGGCATCCTTCCTGTCCGTTTCAGTCTGGCAATTTCTCATGCGTGGCATAATGGTATTTACCTGATACTCCACCAGCTACGTAAGCCGCCATCATCAGTCCTACAGAGAAACCGATGTGCACGGTGAGTGGCTCACCCAAAGAGTTGCGACTGAGGACCGTCTGGGCCACCGAGCCACAACCAAACAACTGAAACACAGAACAACACTTAATATACCTAAAATACAGCTAATAAATTGCCAAGTGGGTAGCATGATGGGTATGCATGCACAGGTGTGTGTGTGTGTATGTATATATATATAGAGAGAGAGAGAGAGAGAGAGAGAGAGAGAGAGAGAGAGAGAGAGAGAGAGAGAGAGAGAGAGAGGGGGGGGGTGATTTATATATACAGTATATTTTATATATATATATATATATACACACACATCATGCTACACACAAGGCAATTTATTAGGTACACCTACACTATCTAACGAGAGCTAAAAAAATATCTGCCTTTAAAAAGATAATAAATGCTCTGCATTCAGCAATGTTTTTTATTATTATGATTATTAATAGGTTGGTATGTCAGCTAAACTGGCAAAATATTTAAAACAGCTTTCGGTAAGATACAGTCCAGTTCTACATTTGCAAACTAAAACCACAAATTGCAAACAAATAAACGAATATCTCTGACAGTGTCAGTCAAAACAGCATATTTACAAATGCATGTTTTCTTTTATGGCTCTCATATTGTATTGAAATGTCTAATTAAGTGAGAGTATAACTATAGGGAAAATAAAAAAAGAAAAAATTGTAAATGTAATTCTAAGTGCTACTTACAACCAGAACAAAGGTCCCGAGGAATTCTGCCAGGAATTCCTTCAGTATTCCATGTTTGATCGCACAATGTTTCCTCATCCTTCTGTTATTTCAAAGTTTTATCGCTGTGCTGACCGTGACGGAAGTGTCTCAACGTTCTGCTGCGTGAACTTCTGAGAAGTGGATGTCATGTCAGATCTCCACCTCTGCCCCAGAGCAGCCATTCAGCACCCAGGATTGATTCGCTCGTACACCCATCGACAAGTTTCCAGGCGCTGTGATTGACACGTGGTTGCTACTGTGATGCATGATTACGGTGGCATGGACAAGACACTGTAGGATTTTTATTTTATTTATTTTTTTGGTATGGAGTTTCTGGAGGTTTATAAACGTAAATACATATTTTGAAAAGTACAGTACAAGGAACCATTAGTTGGGGAGATATTTCTGATCAACCTTAATAGAACAGAATATAAATGAACATACACAATGTGGGCAAACGTATTTAAACAGGGGGTCAGTGCACAGAACATATTCATCGATCGAACCCTAGCGGTTCGGTGAATCGATCTTAGGGGTTCGACGGAGCCTCTGCCATGGAGGTTAAGACACACCTGACTCAACGTGTCAATTAGTTATGACACGCCTGCTTGGCCATCACTGGCTACGGATGATCACATTGCATTGCTTGGCCAATCAGTGCTGCGGGAAATTTAGTTCGCTCAGTAGTCACCTGTGACTGTCGTGATACGATATACAATTTAAAAAAAAAACTGTAGTTAGGCCATATAATTTACTTTTAATGTCGTGAATTTGTAAAAAAATCACATTTTTCAGTTTTACAAATGAAGGGTTCGATGAATGTGCATATGAACTGGCTGGGTTCGGTACCTCTAACAAGGTTAAGAACCACTGAGGAACATTTGTGAAATCACTGATATTGGACCTGAGAAAAGGCTTTGCTCATAATTTCTAGTTTAATTCATCCCAAATGTGTTTGACGGGATTGAGTTTGTGCTAAATTTGAGAACCCTGCAATAGAAAGATGATCGCTGGTACAGTATTTGTTAATGCTGTAGTCCACATCGTGAGCACTATGGCTTTTGTTGCCACATGACGTAGTTAACAACATCGCCACTAGAGGTCAGTGTGAACACAATGCCAGGGTAAAAGGAGTTGTTACTGGAATTACTGGGAAAAAAAAAACGTCCAAACGTGATGTGAATTATTTTATCCAGTTAATCCGAACCAGTGTCATCCAGGCCGTCGCCATCCTCCGCCACTTTAATGACAGGAGCCGATTTCCGTTTGCGCCTGGTGATGAAAATAAGAAGACAGAAGAATCACAAAGTTAAGCCGTACTTTGTCAATTGTGCGTAATCCAAAAGGAAGCATTCATTCACCTCATGTCTTTCCTCATGGTGTCAATTTGGCCGTGAAGATGCTCGTTGGCCTCGAGCTGCTCCTCCAGCTCTCTCTGCAGCTTCTTCTTGGCGTGCTCCAGGCGCTCGATCTCCTCCTCGGCCTCGTCCATCTGCCTCTTGGCCGTCTTCAGTCTCTGAGTCAACTGCGCCGTTTGCAACAAGTCAGATCGCGGACGGTCAGGAGGCGAGGGTGACAGATGGCGACGCGGGTTCTACCTACCTGGTCCCTGTGCGTCTGCAGGTTGGCGTGATCCTCGTCGGCCTGCATCTTCATCTCCTTCACCTTGCGCTCCAGTTTGCGGTTGGCTTGCTGCAAATTGTTGTTGTCCCTGAGAGGAGATGCGCCAAGAGATCAGCTGCAGCTTCCTGTAATGTTACACCCTCCCACTGTGATGCTCGCAGCCTTGCAAGCGTAGGGAAAGTGATACCACAAGGGGGGATCACCACACAACTAATATGGAAAAAAATGTTCTTGGTATTACTTTACATCGTGGGATTAAATAGCCTTCCGCTGTTATGACTGTAATATGTTTTTAGGTAACCGTCGTTACATATAATCTGCAGTCATTGTTATTCGTTTTCCCCTCAATCTTGCGATTGCAATTTAATATGTGTTGATTTTTTTTTCTCTCAAGGTCTCAAAAGTTTCTGACTTTCAAAATCAGATCGCAATAAATGCAAACAAAATTGTGGCTTTATCAATTCTACTTTTGCTTCATGAAGGGCAACCCGGTGGGTGAGAGGTTAGCGCGTTGACCTCACAGTGCAGAGGTGCAGGGTTCAATTCCGGCTCCGGGCCTTCCTGTGTGGAGTTTGCATGTTCTTCCCGTGCCTGAGTGGGTTTTCTCCGGGTACTCCGTTTTCCTCCCACAGTCCAAAAACATGCATGGTAGGTTAACGGAGCACTCTAAATAGTCCCTAAGTGTGAGTGTGAGCGCGGATGGTTGTCCGTCTGTCTCTGTGTGCCCTGCGATTGGCTGGCAACAAGTTCATGGTGTACTTCGCCTACTGCCGAAGAAAGGTGGGATGGGCCCCAGCACGCCCGCGACCCTTGTGAGAATAAGCGGATTAGAAGATGGATGGGTGGAATTGCTCAGTTAATGGCGTGCTTACCTTTCCTCCCCTTGCAACCGCTCCTCAAGTTCTTGGATGCGACTATTGAGTTTGGAAATGAGAGAGTCTTGGTTGGTCCTCTGTGATCCTTCTAAATGAGTCACTCTGCTCTTCAGGTCTTTATTCTGATGCAGGAAATGAAAGAAAGGAATGTCACAAATGAGGCAAATTAAATTAAATGCTAGATGGCCAGTACAGGTCAGAGTCTGGTCACATAAACAAAATAATGAGGAGACACCACTAAATCATTAAACGCATCAATGAAGAATAGAAACATCGATGCTTCCAAGAACAGTTTGGAGGTAGGCCATTTTCTACTCCACTATGCTCCATAAAAGAAAGGTCGCGTGAGTTTCGCATGGAAGAACTGCACAGAATCCTGATAGCCGGAGCCATCTCTCAGTTCCAACATGCCAAGTGTTCTGCTTTCTACGCCTCATCATTTTACAACACCCACAAAAGACCACACAACAGATACGTGGTATATCCTTCTTTGAATGATGGGTTCGCCCTACCTGTCTTTCCAGACTTGTGTTGTCACACTCCAGGTCTTGCCTGACTGCTCTTTCCTGCATCAACTCACTCCTCATCTGATCCACCTGGTACACATAACATAGGCCGACACATCAAAATGTACAATTTGGCCCCGTGCAATCACATCACATTGCAATTAAACACTGTCTAGTGCAACATTGCAAAAAATGTTAATAAAAATGTAGAACAGATAAATATGTAGGCTCTGACGGCACACGCTTTTACAATATATTTCAGCTTACTATTAGCTGGCCGGATAGCTAGATAGATCTGCAATGACAGTGTCAATCAAAGCAGATAGAAATTGGAAATATCCCTTAAATCGACTGGATGGGTTTGTCCTACCTCCCACATTGACAAAAAAAAAAAAAAAAAAAAAAGAAAGGTCACTTTCAGTTTAAATGGACTTCATTAGAGGAAGAGGAAATGCTGTCTAGTCTTTGCGGCCTCTTGTCTCTGCAGAGGCCCAGTGAAGGGAAAATGAATCACCACACACACACACAATAGTTTGCTGTTTTGTGTCTTTGCACTCCATCCAAAATAGTGTTTTGTGTCAATTAGTCCGGAGCACTTTGCTTCTAACAGTGGCCTACTTGAGCAAAAAAAAAGAAGAAGAAAAAAGAAAGAAAAAAAATCCCATGCTGACTAAGGTAATAAGAAACATATGACATGTGAGGAGTGAAGGCGTACGTCAGTGTGGCTACAAAGTGAGCACAATGAAACAAAAAACTTTTTAGGGGACGACTGGAGAGCTGTGGGGAAATCTGAGTATGCAGCACATCTGTTTGTGGTAAAAGCACAACTTGTGATAATAATTCGATTGACCCTTGACTGAATCTATCCAAAATAAAAAAGCTCAGTGTTCTATTTGGAGGTATGTAAACCTACCTGCTCTTTGGTTTTGTCTAATCGCTCCATCAGGCGGTCAGCAGTGCTGCGCTCATCGTTCACGTCTTCCTCTAGCTGACCGATGCGGCCCTGAGAAGGAAAAGAGAATGGGAAAAACATTTTATTTGAGCGTTATTGGTTATTTTCAGATCCTTTTGTCAGTTCATTTGTACTAATATGAGCATTTTAATTATTGTCAGTTGTTATTTTAAAATGATTGGGTTATATTAGCGTATGATAATCAGATTTTTGTTGAGTTTTTATTTTCTTACAAATGAACACATGACAACAGAAGAAAGCCTCCCCCGAAAAATCAGGAAATACATCATAAAAAAAAATAAAAATAAGAGACCAAGATAAATCATTAAAAAAAAAAAACATTATGCCAATAATGGGACATGAAAACTGTACAACTGGAAAAACAAAAAAAGAAATTATTTCCGATCTCGGGAGATGAAGTCCCAAAAAACATGAGATAAAGTGGTTGCATAATTGTGTACTCCCTGTTACAATTGGGGATTGGGTTGTGGTCAGAATTCACCATCCATATGCATATTCTTACGTTAACTCATTCACTCCCAAAGACGTTTTTAAACGTCTTTTCAGACTTGGTCCAGAATTGGCTGGTACTGAATGAATTAAATGCAATTGTCAGCACACACCTGCCACCATTTACAATGCCTCTAAATCACCCCAAATTAAGTTCAGCTGTTCTAGCAGGCTTTGAAAAAAAAAGTCAAATTAAAAAAAAAAAAAAAAATGACTGAAATTATTGATCTTCGTCTCATTTTTTAAAATCTTTAAATTTTATGTTAAGAACACAGATACAATATGGCTGCTCAATTCATGATCAGAGCTAAATTCCAGCTGGTTAGAAAATGTTTTTAAAACAAGAGATCACCGCTGCCTCGGGCGTCGGCGATAGTACAATGTTCCAGTGTTTGTGTCGCACTCAGACAGGTCGGAGAACTTTTCCCACTAAACGGGCGGCTTTCCTCGCTCGACGCGCAGTGTCAACACACTGATGTCACTGTGTAATGTTTTGTCATCAGCAAGACAAACAGAGCCGAGCTGTGAGACGCTGCTGCAGTGGCGCCGTTTGGCACCCTCATAGCTCCCAGGGACAAGGCAAAGACAAATAGTGGCGCCGGGACACATGGACGCCCCACGGCATGTGATCCAGGGTAATATAACGTCTGCTCACGTATGTATGAATGACTTCAAGGGTTCTTCGGCAGGTTATTTGTTAAGAGTTGTCACAATAGTGAACCATTACAAGCCCAATAGTGCCATTTTTGTTGATGTCGATTCTAATTCATCCAGGTCACGGATATCCCTTATTTCCCACCAGAAACATAAATAGGCCGACTCGACACTTAAAATTTCGAACCAAAGGAGCTTTTTGCACAAAAGGTCTTTAAAAGCCAAAAAGAGTTGAATTGCCTTGATTCTACTTTTGCAGAATGACAGTTTTGAATGAGTTTTGTTTTATATCAATTATGTTTATAGTTGGGCGGCACGGTGAGCAACTGGTTAGCACGCCTGCCTCACAGTGCAGAGGTGGAGGGTTTGATTCCGGACCCGGCCTTCCTGTGTGGAATTTGCATGCTCTCCCCGTGCCAGCGTGGGTTTTCTTTGGGTACTCCAGTTTCCACCCACATTCCAAAAACATGCACGGCAGGCGAATGGAATACTCTCCTAAAGTTTCCCGAAGTGTTCTGGTGAGCGCGAACGGTTGTTCGTCTCTGTGTGCCCTGCAATTGGCTAGCAACCAGTTCAGGGTGTCCCCCGTCTACTGCCTGCAGATCGCTGGGATCGGTTCCAGCATACCCGCGACCCTCGTGAGGGAAAGCGAATCAGATGATGGTGAGATGGATGTTTATCATTTTGATGACAGCACTGTGCTGCATGAGATCCTCAAGTCAACTCACTTTGCGATACGCAGCAGTTTGGCAAGACAGCGAACAATTCTTCAAAAAAGGAGCCTTCAGGCATATATGTTCACCTCTAGGAGTTTGACATGCCGCTCGCGCTCCTCCACCGTGGTGGCGTTCCTCTCCTCCAGCTCATCCACTCTTTGCTCCAGCTGCCCGGCCTTGGACTGGGCCTCCTGATGCTCCCTGTGACACCTCCGCAGATCTTCCTCCAGAGGAAGCAGCTGAGCGCAGAATAAACATGAAGATTAGGAGAGTAGAGGAACGTGAAAGAAGTGATACTGTACTTCTGACTACTTTCGACTGTTGGGAGTGTTCCTTGGTATCTCACTGTAGCTCCGAAATTCCCTTTGGTCTATTTTATCAGTGACTTTGACATGTGACCCCTCGTTGTGATGAGTCAGCAAAATGATTTGCGAGGGCCACACCTCATCCTGAAGCTTTTTGGCTGCTAGTCGGGATTTCTCCAGCTCAGCTCCTTTTTCCTGCAGCTGTCTGCGCAGCTCGGCCAACTCCCTCTGACTCTTCTCTTTGGCCTCGTCGACTTGGCTCTGAAGAACATCTGTAGATGCCTCGCAGTCCTCCATGATGCTATTCATCTGAGCGGGCAGATTTACAAGCAGAGAGGTGAAACTCCCCCGTTAAGGTTTAGTCGGTCCTGCCCTCGTGAGCAGCAGAAAGAGGCGGGGAGGCTCATACCTTTCTCTGAAGTTGTTCGACTGTCCTGTCCTGCAGCCTTCTCTCATCCTCCAGCTCACTTTTGCTCTTCCACAACTCCTCAGTTTGTTTCCGCTTTTTTTTTTTTTTTTTACTTGCACTTCCTCCAGACGAGCCAACAGCGAGCGGTTGGACTGACACATTTCCTCTTCATTTCTCCTCACATCCTGCAGTGCTTCCTCCAACTGCTGTTTTTCCCTCTTTTCGAGCAAACAAACAACAGGAAAACCAAAGGCCGCATGACATCATTTCACCCAGGCCACCAGAAGGAAACAAAAACAATTAGTGAGCAGAAGCACACCTCCACTTCATTTATCACCTGCAAACGAGAATAGCTGCGATGTCTAATTTGAATATTCTAATTGAGTTAAAAAAAAAAGTTTACTTGACGCAAAAGAACAAAAAAGATTGAGATCCAACATTAAAGTGTCGATCATCGCATTATATTAAATGGGATTTCTAGTAGGTCTGAACGATTTTGAAAAATAATTGATTTCTCCAACCCCCCCATATTGCCATTTATTATGGAATTATTTTTTCAAGAGCCTATTCCCATGTATTTTTTTTTTTTTTTAACAAACACAAACAAAACATTAAGC